GAGAGGGCTTCCTCAGCAGGGCTTCAGATGCAGATTGAAGGTGCTGGGTGGGTTCATATGGGAAGAAGCACTCTTCAGATACCCTGGCCTCAAGGCATTTAGGACTTTAAACACTAACATTAGCACCTGGAATTAGGCCTGACCCTCAACTGGTAGCCAGTGAAGATGGTGGGAGACTGGCTTTATATGCTCGTATCTGCCATTCCTCATTAGCATTCAGGCTGTTCTATGCAGGACCAACTGAAGTTTCTGGACCATCTTCAAGGGAAGCCCCACGCAATAATCCAGGAGAGGATATCAGTGCGTGGACAACTGTTGCCATTTCCTGTCTGTCCAGATGCAGCTACAGCTGATATATCAGCCTCACTGACAGAAGGCACTCCTGGTCACTAAATCCACCTGAAATACCAGCAATAATTCAGTCCAGAAGCACCCCTAAGCTGCAAGCCCTGCCCTTCAGGGGGAGTGCAACCTGATCCAGGACAGGCAAGGTGTCACCCTTCCAAACAGACAAACCCCACACCAACAGTATCTCTGTCTTACCTGAATTAATTTTCAGTTTATTAGCCCTCATCAAATCGATTATCAAGCCCAGACCCCAATTCATCCACTGCCACACCTGTATCCAATGAAAAAGAAAGGTGGAGCTCAGCCCACACCGCTTAATTACCTCTCCCAATGGTTTCATGTAGATGCTAAAGAGCATGGGGGATAAGGCAGAGCCCTGTGGAACTCCATGGCATGAATGTCATGGCACAGGGCAGTAATCTCCCAGTACCACCTTCAGGACATGGTCAGTCAAACAAGAGTGGAGCCTCTGCAAAGCAGTGCCCCTTACTCCCAACATGGCCAACCTGTCCAGAAGGACACCATGGTAGACGGTGCTGAAAGCCACTGAGAGGTCCAGGAGAACCAACAGGGTCGCACTCCCCATTTCTCTCCCAATCATAGGTCATCCCAGAGAGGGACCAAGGCAGTTTCTGTTCTGAATCCAGCCCTGAATCTCAATTGAAATGGGTCAAGATGGTCTGTTTCATCCAAGAGCGTCTGGAGTTGGCCAGCCACCACCTGCCTGAACACCTTGCCCAAGAAGGGGATATTAGCGACTGGTCTGTAGTTGTTCACATTCCCTGGGTCCAAGTTGGCCTTCTTCAGGTGTGGTCTAATGGTAGCCTCTTTAAAGTGCAGGGCTGCACACACTTCATATGCTTAGAAGTTTGATGAACATGTGGCCAAGAACTTTAAGCTTCCAACGTCTCAACTTTGGGCCAGTTACAGACTCTCAGCCCAACCTACCTCACAGGGTTGTTGCTGTGAGGGTAAGACTGAGAGGAGAATTATGTAAACTACCTTGATTCCCTGAAAGGAAAAAAAAGGCAGGAAATAAATATAATGAATGAATGAATACAATATATTTAAGCTTTCAGGTTTCTAGACTTTGGGGCCATGGAAAGGCATTCGATTTTCCTTGAGTAGAGCCTGTTGAATGCTCAGAAACACAAGGACATCTTGGTATTTCCAGTGGCAGCATGATAATAGCTTCTCTCTGTTTCACTGGGTCCTGCTCCTTCTCTTCTGTGCCTGAGTTCATGCTGACCCTGTTCCCTTTTTGCAAAACATTCAATTGCCCATATTGCCAAAACTCAAACATACCATGCACCTATTAATTCAGAATAAATTATGTAGATCAGTGATACTCATCTGCTTTGCATGATTTCCATTATTTATTCTAAGCACAATATTTAGATTTTTAAACGAAAACAGAGTTAAGGCAAGCCCACTATACTACCCAAGACAGAAGTGGTACATCTTATATATGTGTGAAAGCATAGAAGCACTTACAGAGCAAAACATTACTTAAAATTCAGTTTAGGTTTATAGTGATTTACGCTTGCTTCTTTAATTGGTATGTAGAATGCCCCTAACTTTACAGCCATTGGTATTTCAATAGATGTTTAAGTGTTTAAAGTTTAATAAGCTCCCATTTCTAGAACAAAAAAATGGGTGTAATTAAATTTTCAATTACTATAAGGGGTTTTTGGTCCATACAATTAATAAAAGCTTAAGGCACTTAAACAGGAGCTAGCTTTAAATGCTAAAAGTGCTTCCCTAATTAGCTTCAATGCTTACAGAGCACATCATTCATTTCTTAAAATGCCACACATTGTTTTCTTTGCAGCTGCCAAAAGATGAATTAGCATGCAATCAAGGTTTAATATTACAATCAGATAATTCCTCAAGGTTCTTTTTTCCCTCTGAAAAGGTACTGATGTTGCTCTGCTAATTTTAATGGATCGGAAGCTGGGATGATCAGACCTGTTTTGTTCTCCATTTATCATAGTCCTTGGACATTTTGGTCCCCCCTTCCATCTTCAAAAGGGCATTTGAGTCTCATTAAATATCTAATTAGCAAGTCTAAATGAAAACAAGGAATGTTCAATGCATGCGCATTAACCATACAGCAAAACATTACTATTAACTTAAAGGTCTGCATTTTTATTCAAGACAGGCAAAAGCATTTCAATATATATTTAATGACCACACTGCCAGTTGTACATCTGCCATGTCTGCTTTCTGCCGGCCCTCTTTTGATTTTATACAGTGCCTTTTCTTCTGCTTTCTTTGCCCTCATGCATATGTTATTCATAAGTGGCTTATGCGAATAGGGCAGAATACAAGTATCCCAAATAAATAAATAAATAAATAAAACTAGTGAATACAAATAATGGCTGGTAATTGCACACAATTGCAATAAGGCATACAGGAGATACACAAACTGATAGCACAGTAGATGTACACAACCACCAGTGCATGTTGGACAATGTGATCCAAGAAGTTTCATATACATTACAGGCCAGTCAATAATGTACAACTTCCTCAGTTACATTGACCATCCATTGTGAATGCTACTTGACCAAACCTATGCAGAAAAACATTGACCAGCACCATCTGGAGAATGGGGATCAGGAAGGCCAGTGATTTTCATACATAATTAGTACATCAGAAAATGCTTTCCACATAGACCCACCTGCTGAGAAGCCCACATTACACACTTTATATGGTTCAAAGATATCTTCTACATCAGGGTGAGCAAGCTTTTTTGTTGAGGGCCATATTCCTAAATAGATAATAAGCTGGGGAGCCATATGTTGGCGCTGCATGGGACTGAAGTCAGTTGTGGGGTCATAGCAAAATGTGTGTGGGTAACTGTCTTTCAACCTTCCCATGCACAGGGCTGCCGGGGGAGAGACAGACTCACATTAGGCTGGGTGGAGTGTTACATGGAACTAGGCACAAGTTGCCAATCCCTATTCTAGAGCCAGGTCAGTTCACACAGAATGCTAAAAGTGCCAGTGTGGTATAGCAGTTAAGAGTGCAGGACTGAGGTGGCCTGGGTTCTAGCTGCCAGTCAGCTAGGGAGCTCCCTGGGTGACTTTGGGCTAGTCACAGACTCTCAGCCCAACCTACCTCACAGGGTTGTTGTTGTGAGAATAAGTTTGACAGCAGGAGGAAGAGAATAATGTAAGCTGCCTTGGGTTCCTTGAAAGAAAAAAGGTGAGATATAAATGTAACAAAGAAATAAAAAAGTTGTTATTGGGCTCCATTAAATACCTGAAGAAACCTCAGCAATATTCTCTATAATATCCTTTTTCTGGTGTAAAGAGCAGGACTGTATATAGGATTCCAAGCCTGCTCACACCTTAGATTTGAATAAGGGCAACATGATAGTGACAATTTTATTTTCAGTTCCTTTCTTAATTATGCCTAATGTAGAATTTCCCTCTTCCACAACAACATACTGGGAAAGGTATTTTCATTGAACTACCAACCAAAACTCTTAGGTCTTTTTTTTTTTAGTCAGATCTAGTTCAGATCCCTTCAGTGTATATAAAATTGGAATTCCCCGTCCACCCATCCCCAAAAAATCCTGCATCATTTTACATTTCCTTGCATTGAATTAGAATGTTGATAACAAGGAGCAATATTACTCCTTTTCATTTTGTAGTCAAGCTATGGTGGTGCCAGGCTACAGTGGACTGGATAAAGGCTACTAAACTAAAACTCAGCCCAGGGAAGACTGAAATACCGTTAGTGAGTGGCCTGAAAGGAGGGTAGGTGCTTAACCTATTCTGGATGGGGTTGCATACCCTCTGCAAGACCAAGTTCAGTCATTTGAAGGTTTTCCTGGAGCTTTCTCTGAAACTTGAGGCTCAGGCAGCTTTTGATCAACTACCACTGGTAGACCAGCTATGCCCATATCTGTACAGGGGAAACCTGGCTTTGCTTATGTTTTGGTAACCTCCAAGCTAACTCTACATGAGGCTACCTTTGAAGACAATTCATTAGTTGTTGCTTGTCAAAACATGGCAGCCAGATTGAGAAAAGTCCTGAAGTTCTGAAAATATAACACTAATTCTGGTCCATTTGCACTGGTTGTCTGAATGTTTCAAGGTGCAAGGTCTGACCTATTCAGTCTTCCTTGGCATAGGGCCACAATATTGAATGTAATACCACAATACCCAACACTTTTCCCATCATGAGGCTATATGTATACTACACTCATTGTGAAAGGCCTCTGAGGGAGGCTCAGAAGGTAGCAACAGGGAAAATCGCCTATTCAGTGGTGGTGCCCCCATTTATCAAATCATCTACCAGATGAAGCCCACTTGGTGCCTACAGTGTCAGCCTTTGGTGCCACCTTAAGACTTTCTATCTCTGGCTGGCTGGAGTATGCTGGAAGTCGCAGCCCAACGCATCTGAAAGGCGCGAGGTTGGGGAATTAGGAGTTAAAGGCACAAAGTCAACGAAAGTTTAAAGTTAGCGAAACTGCTCTAACGGAGCCGTGACAAAAGAACGCACAGCCCCGTTTTCAGGCCAAGATGAAGAAAGCCAAGAACTTCGTTCTCCACGGCGAAGCGTTCGCGCGTGCGCAGGACACCCCGCGGCCGGGGTTGCCATAGTGACAGAGAAACAACACTCCGGCTTAGCTTTCCACTCACCGCCTCTTTGGCCTGATACGTCGTTCTCAACGTTTGGTAGGTCAGCTCCATTAGTAAAGCGGGGTGTTCCAGACTAGAGAAGGCCGCCCGCTCTCCGCTCAGGGCGTCACAGCCGATCGGGACCCGCACGACGCCCGCGGCTTCCAGAGGAGGCTTTCGCCAGTGTCAAGGGCTGGCTAATCAACGGCTCCGCGTACAAAAGGCTTAACCAATGAAAGGACAGGTGAGTGCAGTAAAGAACTAGCCAGTGGCGGTACGGGACGGGCAGAAAGACTGACCAATCACGACCTCAGCGGTGAATGGCGGAAGCTCTTGAAGCAGCGGGCCTGTCAGTGCAGGAAAAGTGGAGGGATTGACCAATGGCTGCACAGAGAGGGGCTTTGCCCAGCCTACCTTCGAATCTCTGCTAGATTAGGCAGAAGGAGGCGGAGCTCTCTCTCTCTCGTTGTGTGAGCGCAGGGGCCGGGCCGGGTTCGAGATGTGCGGCTTTTGTGTAGCAGCTTGGAGAGCTGGAGGTAGCTCAGAACCAGCTTGATAGTATGGCTTCTACATAATGTTTTTGTAGTATGTATACTACTAGCTGTATCATGCCCTACACAATGTAGTATGTACATTATTAGTACTATGATGATTATTTTCATTTCCATACTGCCCAATAACCAAAGGTTTCTGGGTAGTTAACAATACATAAAAACAAGGTATATTAGTAGAAAATAGATGACAATAGAATGCAGCATACAATTTTAATGTTACGTGCTGTCGAGTTGTGTCCGACTTAGGGCGACCCTATTAAGAAAAGCACTCCAAACTGTCCTGTCCATGACAGCCCCACCCAGCTCTTCTAAGTTCAAGACTGGCTTTCTTTCCAATTTCAATCCAATTACAATATACCACATGGAATCATTCAAAGCAATGTCCATAAAAACTAGACTTGCTAAAACTACCTCCAGGTGTTAGTGCTCACTAGGCCAAATGGGTCCTGCAGGTGTCTAAATGTCAGATGTTTGAGAGCCGCAAGTGGGCGGCAAGCGGCAAGCAGGCACCTGCAGGTAGTGGCAGCAAGTGGCAAGCGGGTGCTGAACCACAACACAGATTCAAAAGAGCTGCATGTGGCTCAGTTTGGCCACCCTGATATAGATTAAAGTGGAGCCCATGTAGTCCAGAACATGCATACATGGGTTCCACAGCTCCTAGTTTTCCTTATCGTTGGTCATACTGTCTGTGGCCGATGAGTGCTGCGATTTCATTTCATTTACTACATTTCTAGACTGCCCAATAATCAAAGTGCCCTGTATAGTTTACAAAACATAAAAACCATAAAATACAGTATTATTCCTAACCAGAAAAATATTTACATACAAACATAATAAAACATAGCATGTCCATACACATACCTAAGGTATTTTAAACAATCAACAATAAGAATACAACTTAGGACCTTGTTAAAACCCCATCATAGTATGTAATATCATAGCTGAAATCTATGAATTGAGTGGCATAATAAAGAGGTGGCTGGATGGAGTCACTGAAGCAGTCGGTGTGAGCTTGCGTGGTCTCTGGGGGGTGGTGGAGGACAGGAAGGCCTGAGCAATATTGTCCATGGGGTTGTGATGGGTCGGACACAACTTTGCGACTAACAACAACAACAAATAAAGAGTGGTATAGTTTAACACACAGTCTGCATGAGAGTACTGTTCAAATACCGTATTTTTCGTCTATGAGACGCCCCCATGTATAGGACGCCCCCCACTTTTCCTACCCATCTCCAGCAAGCAAGCTGCTGCCGCCCACCCCGTGTGCTCGCCGCCCCCCCCCCCTCCCCCAGTTCCCCCCCCCCAGTGCTCCTGTGGCCCCCATGTATAAGATGCACTTCCATTTTTAAGTATATGCTTTTAAGAAAAAGTAGCATCTTATAAACGGAAAAATATGACATATTACTACTGATTAATCAATGGACTGAATGAGACTTGCCAAAGGTCACCTAAGCGAGTGGAGGTGAGTCAGACCAGGGAGCATCCTGATTCATGGCTCAGTGTTGGAGCTACATCAACTCTCCTAATTCAACTTTCTGAGTAAAGGCCACAAAGAAAACAACACAGAGATTCTCTAACTATTCTCCCTTCCATTCTCGTTGCTTCCAGAAGATCGAAAACAGAAAGCGAGACCAGCTGAAGTTCATTCAGTCTTAGAATTCTGTCTTCATACACACAGCTGTGAATATCTCTGTCCATAAATACATTTTCTATTGTTTATGGATTTAAATAGCTTCTGTATCCATGAGCTATGCGAACTGGTGGGAAGATTGTAGTAGAGTGCCATTAATTCTAATATGAATGTATTGCTGGCTTATTCATAGGGTTTGGTTTGCCACATTTGCAAATAAGTTCAACAGTGAAGTCCCAGGTAAATTCTCAGGGATTAGTTTCGGAGTTCGTTACAATTACTTTATACCCTATGAATATTTCCCCTTTAAAAGCTTGTATTCGGTAGCTCATTAGCTGTACCAGTCTTGAATTCTCACCACTTGCATATTACAGCAACAAAAGATTGGGACAAACTATAGTCTGTTATTTCAAGTCCATTTTGCATAATCCTGCTGAAACAAGCTATCCTACAGTGTTAATTGTAATTTTCTAGAAATTAGAATTGCTCTTTTTGATTCGGTTGTCTGCTTGTTTTAATGGCACAGAACCAACAGGAGGAGTTTTTCCACATGAAATACAGTAATAGCCACAGAGATATAAGTTTTACCAGCTGACTTTCTTGTGAAACCTGTCCATAAAAATAATCTGGTAACCTAACTAAAAGCAACAGAAATTTCACACACACACAAGGTTTATTTAAAAACAGGGTGGATAAAAATCAATTTTTTATTTTTAATGAAAATTGATTTTTTTAAAATTTAAATTCAATTTTTAAATAAAATGCTTTTGGAGAAAAAAATCTATCTAAAGGTAGTTTTCCATTTAAGATGCATTATAGTCCAAAGATATTTCATCATGAGATAAGGATTAGTTTTTAATTATGTAGCATGAAGCTGTATAATCATGCAATGTTTAATTTTTTTGGTAAATGAATTCTATTAATTTATTCACAATGTCATGCTCCTTCAGAGGTTTATGTAAGTTTCTTGGGCAATTTTTCTATCCAGAAGATACCACAGATGCATGGTTTTAAAGTTCTGTGGACACAAATTCATGTGATCTCTGCAGACACAAATTCACAGTGAATTTGTTTCTGCAGAGATCACATTCCTCTTCCTCACAGCAAAAATGTTATAAAATAAACATACAGAGTCAAGAAAAAGACCTGAATGCAACTGTACCTTTGCAAATCCATGTACAAAGAATCAACCCCTTACCTCTTGTGCTAAGTTTCAAAAAATTCAGTGAATAGAAGCGTGTTGGGAGTGGAAGAGCTCTGCACAAAAAGCTAAGTATGAGGAGGGAGGGGCAAGGCAGAAAAATGAAATTGAACCCTTTGAGCAGAATGCTGCACAGGTCTTTGGATCTTTTTGTGTATAGCTTGAGGTTTTTCATATTATTCTTTTCCTGGAAGAGAACACCTATAATGGCAGCAGGCTGCAAAAGAGACTCAGGTTGGGAATATTTTAATGAAGTTCCTCTACTTACAGGTAAGGCAGGCATATGTGCTAAACCATGATTTAAATCTAGTCTTACTGACTGGTATTTAAACTGTGATTAAAATCATGATTTAAATTGATTTGATTTAAATTCACCCTGTTTAAATGCATCATGCTGTAAACTGATGGATACTTGGATTTACATCTATGTATTTGGATTTTTTCAGATCACTGTAAATACTACTGAAGGCTTCTGATAAAATGTGATGTTGTTGGTGTGTATGGCACCTAGTAGACATTCACAAGCAAAAATAAACTGTTCCCTATCAGTTGCTGTCAGTAGAAAATAATGGAAAATTGGGGTGGAAGAGACAAGGAAGAAATAAATGTAGGCAATTGGAGTTATATTCTATTGATGTTTATTGTTTACAACAGAAAAATGAAGATTAGAGAATGCTTAAGATGTATATCTGCTAGTGCCTTTTGGTTTAAGCACTTCTTTCAGGGTCCTAACTTATTCTTTAGATCAAGTATCTTTAAAAATATGCAGGAAAGCAGCCATGCATAATGTACAACTGTCCATACATAGTGCACGTGCACACACTTTTTGGGCAGTGGAATGCCCTGCAAAGTGTGAAGGAATGTGCATAATTCTAGTGTGATGTGTTTTCACTTGATTGGCATTTTACTGTTTTGCAAGCCTTCCATTTTATTGGATTTTATATTCGTATTTGTTTTGTAAGTTGCTTTGGTCTCACAGAAAGGTGGCATATAAAAATAAAACTATCTGGGAGGTCTTTCTATAAACCTCCTGAAAATATTAACTTGGTATGTTGTCATAATTAAAGGGCAAATATAATTATTGAATAAAGGGGTAATGGTGATGCTATTATGAGTGGATGATGTATTTCTACTAAAATTAATTACATTTCTTGTAGCAATTCCAGGTTCTTAGAGAAACAGAATAAATGTAGAGCAGGATTTTTTAATGGAATATGGAAAGTTCTGATGGCACAACTTGGTGCAATATACAGACTCTTGCTAATTTGGGACAGTAAGTGGTGTCAGATTTGAGCCAGGTACAGATCTCCACTTTCTGCTGAAGTTCATAAGGTTCTCATTGGTTGGGTTCAGCTAAGTCATGGTGGCTTTATGGCATTGTTGCTTCGTATCTTCTGAACCCAGTTGAGATAGTTCATCATGCTAAGTGTGGTCTTTAGAAAATACCAAAAAAAACAAAAACAAAAACAAAAAAGCCTCAGTGGTTTGTTCTATAGCTTGTCATGCTTCCTGAACACAGAACCATGCACAGACTTGGTTGCAACTACCACACGGTTCCCTGGAAAGAGCAGCATTGGTCTATGTACTGGACCAATGAGGAAGAGGCAGGTGACAGACAGGGAGCAATGCACCTTGGGACTGTATTTTAAGCACAGTGGCTAATGGGATACATAGCAACAAGGAGAGGACCGAGCAGGGAGGATGGAAGCCATGATTGTATAGAAGCCACTTGATTGTAAGGTAAATCATGCTAAAAACCATGAACCATATTAACCATACATGGTCACCTGTTGTGTCGTAAGAAACACAGCCATAGTTTCCCAGCCTAACTTCCTTTCAGCATTAGAGGTGTGTGGGATCATGTGTGCCAACCCAGAATTCATTACTGGAAGGGAAGAATTTTAAAAAAGCAAAATGCTACTTTTCTGTCTTAGTGTCACTTTGGAATGAATTACTGTTGCAATTCTCTTGTTTCCATGGTTATATTTTCCCATGGTTCTTTGATACATTCTTCTAAGTAAATATGCACGGGATTTCAGTGTTTGAAATGGAGAATCTGTTTCCATTTTAAAAAAAAACAAAGAACTTTTAATTGGAGAGAATGCAAGCTGATTATAACCAGGGTAGTACTTCTTTGTTACTTTATGCTAAGTATCAATATTAGGTTCCTAGTTCAAGAAAGCACCCTTTTCTGCTTTGGGGCAAGAAATGATTATAATGGTAATTAGGGAAATTAGCCTGAGGCCAAGTTCAAATACTTGATTTTCATAATGCTTTGCCCTCAAAAGCGTAGCTTCTTGCCATACAGCTGTGACAGTGATTAAGCTCTTTCCTGTAATTGTGGCACTGCCACAATTTTCCAAGCTCATGTGGGAACAGCAGTTAAAATGTAATTGCAGCTACAAAGTTCTGGTATGGCTGGCTACAGAGGAACATTTTACTACATTAAGAGTGTGTGTGTATGCGTGTGGCTGCAAGAAAAGTATGTGAGAGCTGTTGTGGTGTGATGGTTAGAGTCCTGGACTGCACTTAGGGAGATCTGAGTTCTAGCTTGTGTGAAACTCATGGGGTGACTTTGGGCCAGTCACTTGCTCATTCTCAGCCTAACCCACCTTACAGGGTTGTTGTTGTTGTGATGATACAATGGAGAGGAGGAGAACCTACCAAGCTACCTTTGGTTCCTCACACAAGGAAAAAAAAGTGGACTTCAGATGCAATACAATAATAATTAAGTCTAATATTGGCCTCTGAGGTAGGTTTGGTTGATGGCAAAAAGAGGACCTTCACAGTGGTGGTTTCCTAATTGTGGCATACTTTTTCCAGCAAGGCCCACTTGGTGTGAACAGCTGAAAGCATTTTAGCACCAGCTTCATTCCCTCCACTCTCGGGGATTTGGTGGCATGCAGCAGTGAGTTGTTTAAAATCTTAGTGGAATTCTTATGGTTGTCTGTACCATTTTAATTATTGTATGAGGTATTTTAATACAATTTCAACTGTATTTTAATACATAATTGTGTAACGGAAAGCCAACAGGGATTCCTTGCTCCCCCCCAACCAACTGGGCCAAACAGTGCCCAAGATTTCTTGACCCTCAGTTCCCAGACCAGACATTATTTAGCACATGATCATCCAAGTAAGGGGAATAAAACAAGTTTATTGAAATGATAAAACATAGGAGTGGGAGGGAATAAAACATTCAGGTAAAATGGATAAAACAGGGTAAAATGGGTAAGGAAAGCAGCACTTCTACAGATCAAGCCAGCCAATCCCCCTCACCGCTGCCAATCCTGAGGTTGTGTTGTGTCAATTGGACCCAAAAACAACAAAGCTAATCACTAATCCGCACACAGAATTTCTTCTTTCTATAGGGTTGTTGCTTGCAGGGTATCACAGGATTCTTCAGTATGGAAGCAGGCCCCATTGGAACCCCCAAAGAGGAACAAAATGCTTCTCCATTCCCGGCCTTAATCCCCCCCCCCCCCCCCCCACCCCCCCCCCCCCCCCCCTTTTCCCCCCCTCTTAACCATTTCATACTCCCCTTTCATGGAAAAAAGAGCCAGCCCCCCCCCCCAACCCCCCCCCCCCCCCCCGCAATGGTCCATCTCCAATCATTTGGTGCAACCCTTTTGCTCCAGCTGCTGCTCATTAGTGATTCACAAAGGGAGTGAATTGCTCCCAAGACCTTGGATGTATCAGAAATGATAACACCTGAAAGCTGAAGTCATAACCCTTTCTTGGCCCAGAGGAACCAGGATGCCAGTTTCATGTTACAAATTGGAGCTGTTTTCAAATTTAAGGTTTGAATTCTAGTGTACGTTGTCTTTGGCTCTTTCCTCCAAGAAAGGTGACTATGAAATTTTTAATAAGCAAAGAAAATGCTATGGAAAATACTGCTGGGTGTGGGGGAGACCATTCTAAGCTGGGTCTAGGTACTATGGAAGGATGCTTTGAACTGCCCTCCCTTCTTTTTGGTGGCCTGAGTGATGGTACAGGTATTGAGAGAGACATTTCTCTGCCAGACAGGTGCTTTCAGACCACTGAGGAGTGCTGGACAATAGCCAAATTTTAAGGAATAGACATGTGCAAAAATACCATTTGGTAGAATGATCCATAAAGAACCAAACTACCTGGATTCAGCAAATTTACCCTGGGAGAGTTTGGTGATCTTGTATTATTATTACATGTATTTACATATTAGATTTATTCCCTTAGTTTAAAGAACTTAGAGTGGATTGCCTGAATCCCAGTCCCGTGCTCTTAATCACTGCACTACACTGGTTCTCACTATGCATTTATATCCCCCCCCCTTTTCCTTTTGTGGGGAGCGCAAGGCAGCTTTCATAGCTGCAACTTTTGCTCACAAGAACAACCCTGTGAGGTAGGTTAGGCAGATGGTGACTGGCCCAAAGTCACCCAGTGCGCTGCATGGGGACTTGAACCCAGATCTCTCCAGTCCCCAGCCCAACACTCTTGCCACCACGCCACACTGGCTCTGCGGAGTTGTAGTTTGAAAGGATGAAGAAGAACCAAAACAGAACAGATGAGTCAAATCTGAGTGGTGGGTGCCAAAGCAGTCCATGGTGACTGTACATCAGCTCATATACAAGCAGTACATGGTGACCGGATTTAAACAACAAAGCACATACAAGGGCTGAATTTTCACTGCACCATGAGTTGTCCCTGCAGTATGCATTATTGTTAACAACAAGCAACCCATTTAGAGAAGCTATGGTTTGATGTTCAGTCTTGAACTGTGGGTTGCTCATCATGCTTTGCTTTCTCTGCTGGGTTCACACAGCATGACCTCTAGTTCAGCGACAACTCACACTTAACCCTTGTGTTTTTTTGTGTTGCCTGAACCTAGTTGTCTGAACTGTACACAGTTCAGATTGACCATCTCAAAAAAGAGGACATTAAAGTGCTGGAAAAGTGCAGCCAAGGAGCAGCCAGAAAGATGAAGTACTGCTTGCCTGCAAGAAAAAGTAATGCTTGGAGCTGCTTGATATGAGTGTGCAGATGATGAAAGGAAAACATCATAAATATGAGACAGTCAGTGTAGTGTAGTCATTAAAAGCGTGGGACTGGGATTCAGGTCATCTGGCTTCTAGTCCCTGCTCAGCTATGGAGTTCCCCCGAGTGATTTTGATCCAGACATAGACAAAGCTCAACCTATGCCAAAGAGCTCCTGATCAAATAACCCCAGTACTGGTGCGCATATGCCCAAAATATGCCACAGGTGAAGGATTCCTTTTAAAGGATTTATTCTCAAGAATTACTGGCTACCAACAAATTGTTCCAGATGGCACACCTGAGCAGTCCTCAGTTGGCCGTTTTATATTTTGATCATTGAAGGGCCGCACATAACACAGTTAACACTTTCCAGTAGGTTACAGAAGTTAAAATGGCCTGATCTTTCCCACATGCACCTGAAGGAGGGAGCGAGGAGGAGGGAGTGGGTTGGTGTGAACTGCCCCTTGTTTGAATGGCTGTTATCCGTCAAGTACGAGTCAGCTTTCTCTGGACTGGTGCCCGGTCAGTGTCAGCTCCATTTCAAGGACACACACTGCTGATTTCTAGAAAAGAGGGTTTTTCTCAGGTCAGGGTATGTGTCAGTGGTTGTATGATTTAACCAATGAAAGTTATACTATTGATTTGTAGATCAGGGTGGTAGTAGTGAGGATAAGATTGAGAGGAGGAGTTATGTAAGCTGTCTTGAGCTTCTTGAAGGAAGAAAGGTGGAATAATAATAAATATGAAATAAAATTGTCATCAAGACTACCCAGTCCTTAACCTTAGATCATTCCCTCGGGAGGGAAACGCACTCTGACCATGCTTTAAGAGGGATTCGCACTACCAGAAAAACCTTTCCCCACATATGACAGCCAGGTCATGTTTGACACATCTCAGAAGTGAGTACTCTGAGGTAAAAATCAAACGCCAGCTGTTTTTAAGTGAATTATTCCCCACAGAACAAATATGAGATACACTGGGGACGAGGCGCGGAAGGACAACGAAATGAATTTCAGAGAAGGAGAAGAAAGTCAGGAAAACATGCAGTGGGTCAGCTTTTATATCCCGCTTTTGCAGCGCTCACGAGCCGAACGGCCGTTGTTAAAAGGCGGGAAAACCGGGCTCGCGCGAACCCCGGGAAAACCTCCCTTGCCCCGCCCCCTCTCAGTCGCGCCGCGGGCGTGGCCAAGCTCGGCCCCGCCCCACGTCGCGCGGCGGCGGCGGCGCGGGGGGAGGAAAGGGGTGCTCGGAGCGTGCAGGATGATGGTGGCGGCGGCGGCGGCTGAGGCAGGCGGCGGGTAGAAAATGGCGGATTTCGAGGAGCTGCGGGTGAGGAGAAGCCGCGGTGCTGCGACCCCTGCGCCCCCGCCCAGCGAGCGGCGCCCTCGTCGACCGCCCTCCGACGGCGCCCGCGGCAGCATCTTCCTGCCCGCCCGCCCATCCGTCACTGCTGCCTTTCCCCGGGCGAACGAAGGAGCGTCGCTCCTCTCCCGCCCGTGCCCTTCGTTCCTTGCTTCCCGCCCCGGAGGGACCGCCTCTCGTCCTCCCCGGCTTCGCGCGCGCACACACGCGGGAGGCAGCGGCCCCTCCCCCACGCAATCCCGTTTCCTTCTCCCCCGCCCGCTGCAGCTTCCCTCTTTAATCGTTTGAAGAGCCGAAGTGCTCCCCCCCCCCCCCCCCAGCCCGTCTCGGGAGGAAGACTCCCTGGACTGAATGGTGCTTACTTCCGAGTAAGTCGGCCTGGGAGCCCGCACCGCTGCTTGCTGCTTCTGCCCTGGCTATAGTTTCCCCCGTTTCTGCAGCTTGTGGCCTAACTCGGATGTCTGTCTGCCTGCCTGTCTTCTCTCTCCTGCCTCGGTTCTTGTATTGATCAACATTATTTTGCCACTTGGGTGCTCACCCTCCATGCACGCACTCCTTTAAAAAAGTCACTCCAGCGGTCTTTGTTTCTCTGTTCTGTGGATATCCCCACGAATTGCCTGGCCTGGTTTTCCCTTGTTAGGGGAACTCTTGGCCTCATCCAGTGGGGCTCTCCCTCGTCCTCCCACCAAATGGATGGTCCACTCGGACGCACCGTTTAGGAGTTTAGTCCCATTATCCTGCAATTTTCTTTTCTCCTCATTCTCTCCACCGCTGCTCCCCTCCTAACTTTCTCCTGGCTGCTCGCGTTGCTTTTCACATCCTTTTCTTACTTGATGCTTCTCAAAGGCTCGTGCTTCTTCAAAAGCTGCCTTGCTCATCACCAAATTCCTTGTCTCTTATATTTGGTGACCTCCTGCCTCCCTTGTTTGAATTGCTCTTCCTGCTGTGAATTTCTTTTCCCTTTTACATGGCTTCTTTCTGTCATTGCACTCCTCTCTGCTCTGTTAATCCTCCTGCATGCCTTTTGCCCCTTGCAATGCTATACTTGCAGGCCTTGTTTTTCATTATCTCCCTAAAACTTTATATATCAATAACCTTTATCTTGAATATAAAAGGCAGACTATTTTTTTCTGTTCCACCTTTTTTTCCTCCTGCATCCTCTTTCCCTGAATACACACCCTCATTCTCGATTCTACTCAGCCACGTTTTAGATAGCTGTGTTTTTCCACAATATTCTTTCTCTGCTTTCATCTTGTTAAATTTTCTACTTTTTTCCCTCTTCCATGCTATCTATCTTGCTACTGTGGTCTATTTCCTGACCTCTCCAACCTTATTGTTGCTTTTGTTTCCTCTTCCTTTTGAGACCCAACAGCACAAAGAGCTCCAGTCTCTGCACAAGTTTTTAAGATACAATCCCGGGTGTGCTTATTTGAGTGAAAGCCCCATCAATTCATTGTGACTTAATTCTGGATAAAAATGCATGTGATCTGTCTGTATATTGCTAGGGTCTGATGTGAAGATTGGGAGTCCTCGTAGATAATGTGAGTTCATCCTTATATGTTACATGTCAGAAGCAGGTGGAAATGATAATGCAAATGAATTCTGAATATTAATGTTAATGTGATGTTAAGATGCTCGTTGTTTACCTTATACCGTACTTTCTTCTTCCCAGCCTAATATAACTTTGAATAAATTATTTTTAAACTTGCATCTTCTGTGGGAGTATACTAGATTAGGGGAGTGGAACACATTACAATGTTCCTTTTTAAAATCAGATTTTATTCTGGCTGATTTTTAAAAAATCTCATATCCATTGTAGTAGTCTGTACAGGAGAGTGGAATTATTCAAAAGCATATGTTCCTAAGGCTGATGTTCCTGCCCACATTTGATATTTCTTTGTCTATCTGTAAAGGGTTTTTTTAAATGTCCCAGATACAGCATTAGGTTTTGTGACATAGTTATTGGAAATTTTAAGCTCATGTTTAACTAAGAAATGTTGGGGAGCATGTATTATGGTTTAATACTGCCTGCTCATTTAATTCACCTGCATTGATTTCTATGATAATTCTATCATGTAATTTCCGCTCTCAGAAATATCTTACACTATTTTCATATGCAAAATACATTATTGATACAATTTAAATGACATACACAAGGGAGGAGCTAGCTCATAGTTTCTTCTGCTGTCCTTGATTGCTACTGATTAATATTTCACTTTTTGATTTCTCTGAAAAGTTGAAGTGGTAGCCAAATTTCACATCTCTTATGTTGGGAAAAAGGCTTGCAGGATTTCTTCTGCTGGGACCCACCTCCCATCTCAACTATTATTGGAACCCCTTTCTTTAAAAAAAAATGAGCAAATGCTGGCATATTCACTATTTGCATGATCACTAAGGTAGGGTGGCTTATTTTTCCGGTCCTGAATGCCAGCCATTAATTAGCCTAATACCCTCTTGACATTTGACTTTTCTTGTTGTCCAGCAAGTTGCACAACAGGAGTGGCTTCAAAACCACCCCCAAACCAATGGCTTGTTAGAAGTTTGTGGTGATTTGGAATCCACTCCCTACAGTATATTGGGTTTAGACAATATGGGAAGTTGTGCCCCATGAGAGTAATCACACAAGTCACATAGTGTGCGACTTGTATGTGATGGGCAAGCAGAAGAAACCACCACAGCTTCTTCACTGTGAACTGCAAACCCGATGATCATGTACAACTAATTTTGCTTTGGCAGAGTGAACAGAGGGCTGGGTGGTGAACTTTTGACCTTGCCCAAATGTCTTGTGTATACTTCCTATATAACTGTCTCTGTGAATCTCACAGTGGGAAAAAAGCTTCTATAGATCCATGAATACTTTAAAAGATACCATAGTTTTGGCAAGTTTTGTGTTTCATTATTTAGTATAAAACTGGCAGTATTTACTAGATCTGTTGACCAAGGCCCTAGTTTTCTAAAACATACAGAAGGCATTCACACAATGCTATAATCTATGGTTACCACGGTTTATAACATTTTACCATGAACTGACACACAATCCTTCATTATCATGGTTTCCATCCTCCCTCCTCAGTCCACCCACGGCTGGTATGTACTCTATCAGCCATTATGCCTGAAATTAAATCCTAAGCTCCCTATCTGTGTTGCATGCCTCTTCCTCATTGGTCCACACATGGAGACTGGATGCTTGAAGCCCCTCTTGCAGTTGCACTGTAAGCTAGGTTACTTGCTGGGTTATTTAGCCCCTAAAATCAGCAGTGCAGGTTCATATATTAATGCTCAGTAGCCTCTGAAGGAACTGACTGTGGGTCATTGGATAAAAGTCAAAGAGACAGGCCCTCCCTTTTGCTTGTTTTATAAACTAATGGGTTTCTATGTGCAAGTCGGGTCATAGAACCCATGGTTTGTTGGCTTACAGTGTCTAACCCAGAACTGTGACTTACCACTGGGTGCTTATACTGAGTCATCTAGCAAGACGAGCATGACAATGAAATCACTCCAAAATCTGGGAAAATGGACAGAAAAACTGAAAATATGTGAAACAAGCCATGGTCTTCTTGCTTGTCTACAAGATAATTAATGGCTAAAGTAACAAATCATCATGAACACAAACCAAAACTTAGTATTTCATGCAAACACAGCTGCTATTGTGGGTAACCCAGCAATTGGCAGTATGTGTCAATTGGGACTTGTTTAAGGTAGGATTAAAAGTTGTATGGGAAATAAACTTGCTGTAGCAGAAACTTTGTTAGCCAGACCTTCTTATCAGACCGTGCAGTAATATCTCTCTGTGTGTGCATCTTATAATTACATATGAGTGGTCCTGGTAACCGACAGGAATGTATGTTAGTAACAGCGTACTGTGATGATAAAATTAACATTCCTTTAGCACAGGACTTGACCCTCAGCTGTAACTTTCCTTTCATCTCCAGTGATTTAAACTTTTGCATTAGGACATAGAAAACTGCCTTTATACCCGGTCAGGCTGTTCGTCCATTTAACGCATTATACTGCTCCATGTTGTTCGGTGTTGTCCAATAGTGACTTTCCAGGGTTTCAGACAAATTGCAGCACTACCTGGAGGTATCAAGGATTGAATCTGGAACCTTTGCTTACAAAGATTACTGAGCCACTGAAGGGTACTTTGATGATTCAGACAGGAAGCTACACCTGATTTCCTTTTTCTCTTGAATATATTGCTTATTCTATGTTGAGGTTCTGGCATGGTTCTGGAATGTTTTTCAGACTAGTCAGGTATTTGCTATGAGGGGAAATCCATTAGGAAATGTTGTTCTGGGTTATGGAATGGGAAACTTTAATGTCAGATTCCTTAAAACAGGAAAATGAATGCTTGTTTCTAATGGAGCTTCCCAGTGGTACTTCGAACTACTAATGCATGCTGTGTTACAACTTAAGGGCATAAAAGCTGGAGTATAAAATTTCTTAGGGCCTCACAGAGACCACTCAGATCAGTTAGTGATCTTTGTTGTAGGACACAGGATAGAGGGGGTTGTAGAACTTTTATCTGACTAAACATGCTTGGGGTTGTACATTTATATCTTATATTTATTTACTCAGAAGTATATTCCTCTGAGTTCGGTGGGAGACATTCCCAAAGTCATTGTAGGGTTTTGTTAATTTTAAGTCTATCATGTTCAAATTCATATTTAATTTTAGCCAGAGTGTTACACTTTTAAGTATTAGATTTTTAAAAATGTGATTTTTGAAAATCACCTTGCAAAGGAATAGTTTGTACTAGTATTGCTATAATTTCTGAGAGCATTCTTTTTGGTGATGTGGTTTGAGGTCCAACAGTTTTCCTGTCTTATATGTTACTTTGAGACCTAATATGCTATTTATACAGGTCATGTGTGTATTTGATTAGTGCTTGGAGTACAGTCCTTTCACTTTCTCTTCTTTTCTTAACTTTTCCCAGTAGCCTTGAACACTGGAAGATACCTTTAGTG